CCCAGGGCAGGGGGCACCCGGACGCCTGGGCCCTGTGGAGGGGGGCACCTGGGCGCCTGGGCCCTGCCGGGGTGGGAGGGGACACCCGGACGCCTGGGCCCTCTGAGGGGGGACCCCCGGACGCCTGGGCCCCATGGGAAGGTGACACTTGGACACCAGGGTCCTTGGGGGAATTGGGGCGCCAAGACCCGTGGGGACACCTGGACCTCGAGGCCCACGGGGATGCCCGGACGCCAGGGCCCACGGGGACACCCGGACGCCGGGGCCCCTTGTGGGGGAGCCCTTGGACGCCTGGGCCCCAGGGCGGGGGGCACCCGGACGCCTGGGCCCCGTGGAGGGGGGCACCTGGATGCCTGGGCCCTGCTGGGGTGGGAGGGGACACCCGGATGCCTGGGCCCCATGGGAAGGTGACACTTGGACACCAGGGTCCTTGGGGAAATTGGGGCGTTGGGATCCACGGGGTCACCCAGACACTGGGACCTGCGGGGTCACCTGGACACCGGGGTCCACGGGGTCACCTGAACGCCGGGGCCCTCGGGGCTGCCCGGACACCGGGGCCCTCGGGAACACCCGGACACCGGGGCCCGCGGGGACACCCGGACGCCGGGGCCCCGCGCTGACGTGCCCGTCCCCGCAGTTCTTCCGGGTGCTGAACGGCTACAAGATCGAGCACAAGCTGCTGCAGGGTCCTCTCATATCCCCCAAGGCCCCCTTGTGTGCTCCGTGTCCCCTCGTGTCCCCGCGTGTCCCTTGGTGTCCCCTGCTGTCCCTTTGTTTTCTCCATCCCCTCCATGTGTCCTGTCCCCACATCCTGTGGGTCCCCGGGATCCCCATGTCCCCAGTGTCTCCCTGTCCCCTGGGCCTCCACATCCCTGTGCATCCCCGCGTGTCCCCCGTGTCACCTGCATCTCTGTCCCCACATCCCCATGCGTCCCCGTGTCCCCACGTCTCCCATGTCCCCTGTGTCCCCGCGTGTTCCCATGGCCTTGTATGTCCTCTTGTCACCTGCATCGACATGTGTCCCCATGTCCCCTCCATGTTCCCCACGTTCCTGCGTATCCCCATGTCTCCATATCCCCCATGTGTCCATGTCCCCCCATGTCCTCCAATGTCCCCTGTGTCCCCATGTCCCCTCCATGTTCCCCACGTTCCTGCGTATCCCCATGTCTCCATATCCCCCATGTGTCCATGTCCCCCCATGTCCTCCAATGTCCCCTGTGTCCCCATGTCCCCTCCATGTTCCCCACGTTCCTGCGTATCCCCATGTCTCCATATCCCCCATGTGTCCATGTCCCCCCATGTCCTCCAATGTCCCCTGTGTCCCCATGTCCCCTCCATGTTCCCCACGTTCCTGCGTATCCCCATGTCTCCATATCCCCCATGTGTCCATGTCCCCCCATGTCCTCCAATGTCCCCTGTGTCCCCATGTCCCCTCCATGTTCCCCACGTTCCTGCGTATCCCCATGTCTCCATATCCCCCATGTGTCCATGTCCCCCCATGTCCTCCAATGTCCCCTGTGTCCCCATGTCCCCTCCATGTTCCCCACGTTCCTGCGTATCCCCATGTCTCCATATCCCCCATGTGTCCATGTCCCCCCATGTCCTCCAATGTCCCCTGTGTCCCCATGTCCCCTTCATCTCCCTGTGTGTTCCCACGTGCTCATGTCCCCTCT